ACTGTTTACTTTTTGTGTCTCGTATACTTCTTAGTGCATAATGCCAGTAAGGGATGTTGTATTGTACTCTCAACACAAAGTAAAGTCCTTGGTATTATCACAGTCAACTCTTCAACTTTGATAAAGTATTTGATAAAAGTGTACGTGCGCACAAAACCTCATGCCTTGAATAAACCTTTGTTGGTCTTAAAGGTGCCACTGGACTCTAAATTTGTTGTAACATTTCAACTTGCGATTCATAAAGTTTCTCTGTTGAAATGGATACTTAACTACTGAGTTTTCTGTGGGTTGTCCCGACCTTGAAGAAACCTAACCGTGAAATGGGCACTCCAAGTCCACTGCGCGTAGCCGGGACTCTACTTGGATTGTTGAACGTCTGGCTAAGAAAAACATCTGGCTGAGAAATTAAGGATTGGATCCTGATACAGAAACCTTAACAGGGAACTTTTATGAGTCACAACTCAGGTGGAAACGTTGACTGTGATCGTACCAAGGACTTTACTTCATGTTAAGAGTATACCTTTAACTGTATTGTGCTGTATTGACTGATTATAATAGTTTATTCAATAGAAGTAAGGATTGCATTAGTCATTTTGGTTGTGATTGGGTTTTTGGGGGCTGTATAGCTTCTAGGTTGGGCCTGGAAATTTCCCAGAATCACAATTGGTTTCCAGAAGGCAGAGGTCAGTTCCTTGAAGAAATAACATTTCTTCCAGCATAAGAAGAAGAAGAAGAGATTGGATTTATATCCCGCCCTTCACTTGGAGTCTCAAAGTGGCTTACAAACTCCTTTCCCTCCCCCTCCCCACAACGGACACCCTGTGAGGTGGGTGGGGCTGAGAGAACTCTGACACAAACTGCTCTTTTTCAAGGACAGCTGTGCCAGAGCTTGTGACTGACCCAAGGTCACCCAGCTGGCTGCATGTGAAGGAGTGGGGAATCAAACCCGGTTCTCCCAGATGAGAGTCTGCACACTTAACCACGACACCAAACTGGCTCTCTCAAGCTTTCTCAAATTCCACGAAAGTCCCTCTCTGTTTTCCTGTATAGCTGCTGTGAAGGTAAAGGACTGAATCAGACCGCTTGTCTGTCAAGGTCAGTTTTGGTTACTGCCCTGATCTGGATGGCCCACACTAGCTGGATCCCATCAGATCTCGGAAGCTAAGCAGGGTCAGCCTTGGCTAGTATTTGGAAGGGCAACCGCCAAGGAATACCAGGGTCATGGCGCAATGGCAAGCCACTTCCGAAACGTCTCTTGCCTTAAAAACAAGTCTAGCTCACCACCCAGTGGTAAAGGTAAAGGCCTCCCTTGCTCGAAAGCCAATCAAATCCGACTCTAGGGTTGTGGTGCTCATCTCCGTTTCAAAGCCGAAGAGCCAGCGCTGTCCGAAGACGTTTCCATGGTCATGTGGCCGGCATGACTCAACACCAAGGCGCATGGAACGCTGTTCCCTTCCCACCGAAGTGGTACCTATTTATCTACTTGCAGTTTCTTGCTTTCGAACTGCTAGGTTGGCAGGAGCTGGAACTAGAGACGGGAGCTCTCTCCGTCATGCGGCAACTCGAACTGCTGAACGACCGACCTTCCACAGCCTGCAGTTCAGCGTCTTAACCACTTGAGCCACCGCACCTGGTGGTGCATAACGCTAAAGAGCAAAAACTTCTGGTTGCCAAACAGTCTTAGGATCTCCTGGCTATACTGCACACACTGCCAGGCAGGTAATGGCGAACCACCTCCGAAATGTCTCTTGCCTTAAAAACAAGTCTAGCTCACCTCCTAAACGGGTAGCCATGTTAGTCTGTAGCAGTGGGAAAAAGCAAGAGTCCAGGAGCACCTGAAAGACAAACAAAATTGATGGCGGGGGGGGGGAGCTTTCATGAATCACTGCTCACTTCTTCAGATACACTTCTGCTCACTTCTAGCTGTATCCGAAGAAGTGAGCAGTGACTCACGGAAGCTCATCCCCGGCCAAATATTTTGTTAGTCTTTAAAGTGCTACTGGACTATGTTGTCGAAGGCTTCCACGGCTGGAGTTCATTCATTGTTGTAGATTTTCCGGGCTGTATGGCCGTGGTCTTGGCATTGTAGGACCTGACGTTTCGCCAGCAGCTGTGAGTGGCATCCCCAGAGGTATAACACAGAAAGAGGGAGTACTCTGTGTCAAGGTGAGAAGAAGAAAAATGGTAGGCAGTTAATTTATATCTACTCAGGAAGGTGGGGTAAGATAAAGGCTCCCTTGCTCGAAAGCCAGTCGACTCCGACTCTAGGGTTGCGGTGCTCATCTCCGTTTTAAAGCCGAAGAGCCAGCACTGTCCGAAGACGTTTCCGTGGTCATGTGGCTGGCATGACTAAACACCAAGGCGCACGGAACGCTGTTACCTTCCCACCAAAGTGGTACCTATTTATCTACTTGCAATTCCTTGCTTTCGAACTGCTAGGTTGGCAGGAG